GGGCGGGGGCCGTGCGTCACCCCCGGCCCCGGCGGTGCCCAGGACACATCCGACCTTTGGTGCTGCCACCAGTGTACGGGGGGTGGGGGGGGAGCGGCAGGATCCTTTGTCAGCGTCCCCCGGAGGGTCTCCGGCCTCCCGCGGCTCGCCCAGCCTCCCCGGCCGCTCCCGGCCCCGGCCGTACCTGTCGCCCCCCAGAGCTCGGTGTGTCGGGGGAGGCGAAGCGTACAACAGTTACGAGGGGGAAAGGAAAGGTAAATCGTGACAGGCTTACGGTTGTTGTCTCGGCCACTTACTGCCGCCTTCGTATTGTTCTCTGGCTCCTCAGACCAAATATAAAACCTAAATATTTACTACGGTACGGTAAACATTTTGCAAACCCGTGTTTGAGCTGTAAGAACATTTTAAGTTCCATTTTCTTAGCAGAGTAAAACAGTTTACTGCCACAAACTGGGAGTTACACGTTTCATGTCAGTTGTTTGCACCAAACGATGTCTGTCTTGACTGTTTCCATTAATTACATCGTGGGAGAGAAACCTTTCTATAGATTAACTGCATAATGTGAAATTATTGTGCTCCATTTTGTACAATATCCCCTTTTGCTCCATGTTTGTTCAAACACATTTTTTCCATCCCCCCCCAAAAAAAACCCAAACAAACAAACAAAAAAAAAAAAAACAAAAAAAAACCCACTTCAGAAATGACAGGGGAAATACTTGGAGAAAAGATTTCTTTATTACATACATGGATACAGCCATTGGAAAAATAATGAACCAATATAATGCAGGTGTGAAATAGCTCTGCTCAAAGGCCAGAAAAAAAAGCATGGGACATGAGAATGTGTGGAGAGTAATTCTATTTAAGTAATTGTAGAGAGTCGTTTGTAGTGCTAGCTGTGAAACATGCATCTTTGTATCATCTTAACTGAGTTTGCATTTAGTTCTTCTGTATTCATCGATTTTCAGGAACATCTTCAAGCAAATCTGCCTTAACAATTGCAAATTTCCTGCCAAATTTAGTTTATGCTGGACTGATGTCAGAACCTTGTTTTGTTTTGTTTTGTTTTTTCCCCCCACTCTTCTAACAGTGACGAAAACGGTAGTAGTTGAGCTGTAGCTGAGTTTTCCTCTTGTGTCTCTTGTGGAAATGTGAGTTTATAAAGGAGAAGCCTGAACTCTTACAAATGTTGTTCCTTAAAACTGCTCCGTGCTTTCATATCGACGATAGTCAGTATCTCCAACTGCAGCGAAGAGTGATTCACTCATTAAGGGCTGAAGTATGATAAATCTTACTCGTGAGGCTGAAAGCTGCTTTGTTTAGAGTCTGAAGCGTGGCAGGAAATTCAATAAATTTGAATGCACAACAGCAGTAAATACAGCATGACTTGGGGTGGGAGGGGGGAATTGAAGGGAACTGCCAAGTCTGACAAAGGAGGAACTTGCTAAAAGCACGCTAGAAAGAATTTGAGGACTCAGGAACTGCCTGGATAGATTTTATTTTTTTTTTTTTTTTTTTTTTTTTTTTTTTTTTTTTTTTTAAGAATTAATTTGAACAAAGCTACGCAGAGATCATGCAGCTAAGATCCTTTGTCTTGGCTACGTCATTGTCCATGGTAATTGCAAGTGGGCCTGAGATGGGCTTATCTTCAGATGAGGATATGGAGTCCTGATTTGGGGCTGGATGTTATAGAGCCACTGGGCTCTCTGGAGTTGCATAACTAATGTCTGCTTGGAACAGTACCTCCTTCACTAAACGTTAACATCAAGTTTTATTGTTTTCAATATTTGCTACCTTTTCATTCTCTTTTAACAATAAATGATGCCCCTAGTGTTCTGAATACTTTAATCTGAAATGCCCATAAATCTTGCAAGTGATATTAGAATAGACAAAGGAAATTACTTCCCACATACTAACAGTAACTTCTGTTAATTTTGCATGTAGCTACCTCTCGGTATTTTTCAGCTAAAAAGAAAACTGATAGATTCTAGGATCCAGAAATTTTAGGTAAATTTAAGCTGCTTATTTACTTCATTAACATGTGGTATAATAGACATTTGAGCCCATTGACAGGCTTCAAAAGGTAAAAATGTCTGTGGAGATTCAAAGAGCAGTGAAAACCCTCAAGTCATTGCATGTATCTTTGTGCAGCATCGCTACTGCTATCTAAGATCTATTATTTAACTGTATGCCAATATGCATCATATCACAAACTAATCACTATTCCTTTTCTTGCTGAAGGAGCGAGAGGGCTCTGAAGGGCTGAGGACTGAAAATTCCCACCACAGCACCCCCATCCCACCACAGCACCCCCAATTTCATCGGTCCCTGGTCAGCCTGGGCCTTTCCCTGACTTGATCCATGGGTTCAGGACAGGGTGCCGTTGGCACGACTGGAAAACGCAAGCGGGATGCATCTCCTGCCCCTCGGCTGCTCCTGGGCTTGGTGAAGGCAAGGGGACCTTGCCTAGGGTGGGTGGGGCTGCTGCCGGCTCCCCCTGATTCTCAGCCTCTGGAGATGCTGCTCAGGAATACTTGTCAGGTAGCACAGATCTGCTTTTGCCATAAGAACCATCAAGCAGCCTGGAAGTGCTACATTTGCTTTTTTTGCAGTATATTAGCCATCTTCAAAGTGACTCAGCCTAAGCCTCCTACTCATAACCCTTTTAGCTGCTGAAAGAGATTTATGAGCAGCTGGTGCCATGGATACTTAAAATAATCGATACTTGCTTCAGGGTAGATAGCTTCCCTTCTTCCTCCAAGCACAGTATGATTTATGGTGGAAAAAGGAAAAAAAAAAAAAAAAAACAAAACCACCCCCAAACCAT